ATTTTTTAATGCAAGGGTGTGTTTATATGTTATTTTGGTGTTTAACACAGGTGTTTCTGTATGTATTGTTGTCGTTTCAATGAAGGAGTGTGCTTGTATAAAGTGTTGAAGTTTGAATGCAGGGTTGTATTTGTGTTTCATGTTGGTGTTTGAATGCTGAGATGTATGCACATATACACATACACTACCCCACAAACACACACGCAGATACACACACTTTAAAAAACATGCTGACACACATGCAGATACACACACTGAATACATACAGATACACATGACAGCAAACAGATACTCAGACACATATGGTGACATACTGACACACACAGACACATACACTGAGAGACATACTGACTCGCACACACACTGACAGACATACTGACACACTCTGACAGACATACTGACACACACACACACATAATGACTCACACACTGACATACACACAGACACTGACACACAAATTGACAGACATACTGACACACACTGACACATCCACTGACAGGCATACTGACACATACACTGTCAGACACAGACACCGATACTGCCCCACAAACTGATAGACATACTGACACACAGCCATACTGACACACACACAGACATGCTGACACAATCAGACACACATACTTATAAACACACACAGACATAGTGACACACACACATGCTTTATTTACACTTAGCCACCCTCCAGGTTCTTACCTTTGCCTGGAGGGTGGTTTCCATGGGGTCCAGTGGCAGGCTGAGGCAGCTGGGAGTTAGGCTCTGGCACTCCCGGCCTGGCCCCTGCTCACTGCCTTCCCCCTCCCGCGCGCTCTGATTTCTCTGTGGCAGATGCCGGCTGCCGAACATAAAGGGGCCTGGTCGCCCCTGCTGATACATGACCACTGCCACCGGGTGGCCCTTAGTGCAGCATGGGCCTTCTTCCATTGTGTGCGAGCCAGTGGGCAGCCGCACCTCCGGGTCCATGGGGCTTAGGGCAGCGGAGCCCACGGGGCAGTAATTGGGCCTGAGGCAGCTGCTCACACGTTTTGTGACACTCTGTGGCAGTCCCAGCATAGAGGGACAAAGATCTTTGTGAAGGGTAATCATTCAGCCTTTCAGGTATACCAATATATTCAACTTCCCTCTTGGAATTGCCAAGTTCAGTTCAAAAAACGTCATTAGCGGCTAATGCATTAACCATAACAGCATATTCATAGACACCGATGCTAGCACTGCTGAGGAGGACTGCAACCCCTATCAAGCTTTCCCTGCCCATCCTAGCTTCTAAAACACGTTAAAATGGATTTCTAGAACATTTTGCCAATCAACGGATACAGCTGGGACAGCAACGCTCTAACTGTGTTGATTTCACCAGAGGAATGAATGGAACGTTCCACGTTTAGAACTTTAACCCAGAACTGATCCTTACAGACAACACATAACGTCTCTCACCATGCAATTGTAATGAGCAATAACCGAGTTATCCGGTAATTTCATGAGTTTTCCGGTGTCCTTGCTGCGCTTTCGTTGGTGACAGAAATGACAGGCTGCGCCCACCTTCTTCGCAGACATGGTCTTACTGGCAGTCACAGGCTTACCGGCAGACATGGCACAGGTTGGCACGGGGCGCTGCTCCGAAACCGGGATCTCAGCTGCTTCCTCACGGTTTCAGTTTCGATTCCTGTCTAGTTGTCAAATTATTACAGGCGGAGCTTCAGAGAACAGTCCTTTAAAGTTAGGGATTTGCTGGGACATGTATTCCATTTGAATTTTACACGTTGACGCCAGTGTTCTATCAAATTTCCCTACAACAACGGGTAATTTATGAAACGTGGTGTCTTGTAATATGGAGACTTCCTAAGCTGAAGAAGGAAACTCGTGCATCAGGCAGGAATCAGAAAGTTAAAGAATTGTATTATCTTTTGGTAGGCATTTGCAGCTTTTGGATCCTGTATATTACAGAGGTGCCCATTTGACGTACTGCTCCTGTGAGCTGGGAGTAAATGTATGCCCTGGTTGGTTGGGGGATGGGGGGGGGTTGTATCTTGTAATACATTTTTTGTTGGACTAACATAATTTTTTTTAA